TTCTAGCATCTTCTCTTGCTCTCTATTCCTTCATCCAAAGTTAAATATCTTCATAGCACCAATGACCCCCTCCCTTTGAAATGAGTCACCTGAGGCCTTTGGTCCCCTCACTGCCATGTCCCCAGCCCCTCGAGCAGTAGTGGGCTGATGAGAGGTGCATCTCCCTGCTGAATGATGCTTATGCTTCAGCCTCAACAGAGGTGGTGAGCACCTGTCTGATTTCCTGGGATAACACTCTTTCAGAGATGAGTGACCTCCGATAGGCACGTTAACTTGCAGAGCCTTGGGATTAAAGGTGTGGGGACTACTCTGCTATATGTGGGTGATTTGAGTCTAGCCTCTTGCTGCAAGCAGGCTCCCCTGTTTCTGTTCTGATGAGCAGCTCCCTGTCATTCCTGCAGCCTGCAACTGAGGCCTGCTGGGAAGGGCTGGTTGCACTTGGTTGGCCGAACCCTTCTCTTTCCTGGGAATCTTACTCTGTGCTACCTTTACCTACCAGACAGCTGGTGCCATGGCTGAGATTTTCCACTGTCTTCCATCACATAAACTAGAATGGCAGAATTCTCTTAGTCACCAGCATGTCCATTGTTCATTGACATCCGTCACACCATCCCCATATGATGTGGCCATATGCCATCTATCCTTTACCAGCTTATGGAGAAATGTAAAAAGACTTCATTTAAAAAGGAACAGGAAGTTGGGGTAGGGTTGTGGCTCAGCAGTAGAGCATTCATTCACCTTCCATGTGCGAGGTTCTGGGTTCTATCAGCACCACATAAAAATACATAGATAAAATAAAGATCGTGTTCAACTACCACTAAAAAATAAATTAAAAAAAAGGAACAGGAAGTTGGTGTTGTACATGGGAGACCAGGCTGGGTCCTCATGGGAGAAGAGGGGTTTTAGTGACCAATGAAATAGAAGTTTTAAAGCCTGGCCTCTCTGCTGCACTTCCCTGACATCATATAATAAAAGTTACATATACTCAAAAGTATTCTTATCACCCTAAAAACTTCTATGAAGATAAGAAAGTATCACTGCCAAACAATGATTCTGCTCTTGTCCAGCCAGTGTGGACAAGAGGGCAGGTCTTCTATGAAGACACCAATTGAAGATTATGCTATGGCCTCAATATGGTTTGTCCCCCTGAAACTCATGCTGGAGTTTAACTTTTAAATTTAATCTGATAATGACATCCAGAGGGGCCTTTGGCGGGTAATTGGGATTAGACAAGATCATTAGGGTGCAACACCCTTGATTGAATCCTGGAAAAGACACTAAAAGACACACACAGGTCTGCTCCCTGTCTCTTGCCATTGTGATGCCTTGTATCACCTTGGGACTCTGCCCACAAAAAGGTCATCATGCGATACAGGCCCTTGACTTTGCACCTCCAGAACTATAAACCAAGACAAACCCTTTTCTTTCTTTCTTTCTTCCTTTTTTTAAATATATATTTTTTTTAGTTGTCAATGGACTTTTATTTTATTTATTTATATCTGGTGCTAAGAATTGAACCCACACGTGCTAGGCAAGTACTCTAACACTGAGCCACAACCCCATCCCCAAACCCTTTTCTTTGTAAAGTATCGAGCTTTGGGTATTTCATCATAGTAATGAAAAATGGACTAATTCAGAGAAGCACTTGCATCAGGCTTGTACTTGACAGGCTCACAAGCCTCTTTCTGGCTACTTAGGACTCAAGAAGGCAGAGGAGAGGGTTTTGCAGGTAGCATCCCTTCCCTCCTTTATAGGCCATCCTCTTGCCCACCCCATCACATCCTGAGACTTGCTCTCCCCTGGGATTCCTCTGATGTGCCCAGCAACTACTTTCTCAAACGTGTTCTTCCTTATTCCTTAGGATGGGATCCTTAAAGCAGGGTCCCCAGACCATGTGCTTCTGAGTCACCCTGGGTGTGTTTATAGAATGCATTTTGGGGGCAGCATTCCTGAATTGCAGAATCAGAATTTCTGGGGCGAGGGGTTATGAGCATAGAGCAATTTGAGAACTTCTACTCGGTCTTCAGGCAGTTTTGGTTTCTTGCTGCAGTGGCGTGGTTGGGACGTGTCTCTTCTTCTCTGACTCCACACTCTCCAGGAGTGCTTGTCTCTTTTCTCCAAAGGAAAGAGCCCTTGTAACACCTGTTCCTAGAAATGTGCTCTGCCTCTCTTTTGTCAAATCTGAGAGCTCCCTCTTCTTTGCAAGTTTTTTGCCAGCCTTTGCTGTTTTCCCCTTGTTGGAGAAGGACAGGTGGAAGATAGGGCCTCTGTCATTATAGGGAATTGAGCAGGAAGCACAGCGCAGGAAGCAGTTAAGATGTTCTCAGCAGGAAGGCTGCTCTCCGGGAAGCGCAGAAAGCTGTCAGGACAAGTGACCTTTCTAATCACGCCTGACATTTCACGGTCTCGGGTCTCGAAGGCAGAAGGGCTGCCCTTATTCCAGAGGCGCAGTGTTGTGCTGTGTCATCCCAGACACCTGCGTCTGCGACCACGATGACTTGGCCTCCAACCAGGCAATGAATCAGAGCACGTAAAGGGCTTTGTTTCCCAGGCAAAGAGGCAACATTGAGCAGGGGCTGATGTGGACCTGGCCTGGAAGGCACTGGTAGAGGAGGATTTTTCTCTTCTCTGCGCCCAGGGGCTCAGGTGCTGCTGATCAAATGGGCTGCTCTGAGGAATCAGGATTATCTTCTGGTCCAAGGGGACCTTGATGACTCACTTTTTTTTTTTTAATATTAAAAAACCATGTGTGCTTATTCTACAAAGGTCATATACAATGGTATAAGGAAGAAAGTCAAAATACAAAACTTAATCCCATCACTCTGGGATAAATGTCATTTAAAGGACATTTCTATACATATATATAATATTTTAAAACAAAATACAATCCTATAATAAATAATGTCTTGTAAACTGCATTTTTTTGGGGGGGGGGTTCTGATGATTGAACCCAGGACACTCTACCAGTGAGCCACATCCCCAGCCCTTTTTATTTCTTATTTTAAGAAAGGTTCTCACTAAGTTGCTTAGGGCCTCACTAAGTTTCTAAGGCTGGCCTCAAACTTGCAATCCTCCTGCCTCAGGCTCCTGATTGCTGGGATTACAGGTGCGTGTTATCATATCGGGAAAGCTGTGATTTTAAATTTAACATTTTGAACACATTTTCACATGCATAAACAAGAAATTGAGCAATCATTCTTAATGATTTCACTGTAACCCATTGTATGAATGTAGCCTCCTGGGATTGTCTCTGGTTTTTAATCAAGATGGAAGATACTATAATGGACATCCTCATGATTAAACCTTTCTGTAGAACTTGGAGCACTTCCTTATGACAGATTCCTAGAAGTGGATTTGCTGAGTTGAAGAATAAGCAGCTTTTAAGTCTTTTGCTATCCATCTTCTAGAAAGGTTAAACCAGTGCACATTCCCACCAGAAGGGTACAGAGGATATGCTACTTCCGACTCTCCTTGACCTGAGATTACCATTCTTTTAAATAAAGATTTAAAATCTTGGGAGTGAAAAATAGAATATCCTAATTGCTTTTCTGTGTATTTCTCTGTTTATCAGAGTTATTTCCTATGTGTTTCTTATTTTGTGATTCAGTTGACCATTTTTGCCCTCTTTGGAGTGTTAACCATTCTGATACTTAGTTTTAAGTACTTTTTAGATAATAAAGATAACAATTAACTGTGCTTGAAGTTATACTGTTTTACTTAGCTTACGATTTGTCTTCAATTTTATGAGGAAGTTAAAACTTCTGAAGTTTGAACACATAGTTTCAGTTTGTTGTAGGTTGGTTTGTTGATTTTGCATCACATTTAGAAAGGCCTTCTCTACCTCAGGGTTATAAAGTTATTTATCTGTGTTTTCTTCTTGTGCATTTGGTCTCAACTCCCATGGTCTCTCGACCACTGTCCTCCTGCCTGAAATGATCTTCCTTCACTCTTCAACTGGGTGGTTCCTTCTGTTTCCCAAGTCTCTGATGAAATGCCCATCTCCTTAGAACACTCTCTCCTGATGGCGTAACCTACAGAAGGTCCCCTCAACCCCCATTCTTCTCCCTGTTAGTACTCTGTGGTTTTCTTTTATAGCTTTTATTAAGAAATGTGGTTATAGTTTTGTGTACTTATTCACTATCTGCATCCTCATAGACTGTAAAATCCACAGGGGACAAAATTGTACCTGCTTTGTATTCTAAGCACCTAACCGAACATCTGGCACATGGTAGATAAACAAAACGTATTTGTTATGAGTCATTGAATGTTAAAATCCACCTAAAATGTGCTGGTATAGGTGTGGACTGAAGATCTAATTTATATTCTTCCACATGACATACAACTAGAATGCAGACTGGTTTTCTTAGAATTCCCATTTCACCTGGCTCCAAGAAATGAAACCCAGGCTGTGGGAGATGATAGAATCGATGGCTCTCATTATTGCTCTTCTCCAGCCTCATTGTCTCCTCGCTCCACAATGACTTCCCTTTCTCCATTACTGCCTCAGCTCTAAGTGCTTCCCATAATGCTTATTTCAGGGCTTACCCTAGAGCGGATCCTTAATTAATGGTATTTACTGGCTGATTCACATCACTTAAATGGCAGGGGAATCAGATATCTTTGATGTGTTTCATACAATATTCACATTAGCCTTTGGAAGCTCTGAGAAATCTTTGCTCTCTCTACACCCTGAGAAATTGGATTTCTCCACAGCCCTTCCTTATCTAGGTATCCCTTCTACCAGCTGTGAACAAGAATGAGAGATGGAGGTTGTCAGAGACAAAGAGGAAGACACTCACCTCTGTGTGCTTTTAAAGTTTCTCAGGCCTCATGCTGTTTGCTCCTTCACAACCCCCCAGCTGTGGAGACCTGACAATGAGGCTTCAGGACAGAATTTTCAATCCTTAAATCTTAACATCAGTAAGTTTTTCCCAATTTATGAAAGTGACACACCCCTAGGCATAAAATACTGGAAGAAATAACAAAAGAATCCATTTTACTTCATTTAGACACTGTTTTAATGAACCTAATAATCAAAGGAATGCAACTTAAATAATACTGGTAATAATACTAATCATCAAAGGAGTATAACCAAAAAAATAATTAAATATTATTTACCTCCCAAGCAGTGGAAGTCACAAAGAAGAACCAATTGTACTCCATTTCAACTTTACAAATAATCAAAAGACACAACTTAAAATAGCAAGGGTCCTAACAAATATCTATACCAAGGGTCCTAACAAATTCATTGCAATACAAGGTATTATAATGGTTAATGCTGAGCAGAAGGGAACAAGAGAAGAGGTTCATGCACTATGGAGGGGAGAATCAATAAATGTTTCTAGAATGGAATTTCCCAGGAAGAAGCAAGAACCTTACAAATGTTCATACTCTACTGACTCCTGATCTTACATCTATAAATCTCTCCTAAAAACGTTAATCATATGGCTGTTTATTAAAGTATAAAAATGTGATAAAACTTGAGTGTTTACCAATAAGTACATAACTAAAATATGTCGGATCTAGCCATAGCATGGACTATTATAGAATCACTATCAATCGTATTTCCAAAGGTTATTTAATGACATGGGATATGCTCATGAATCAAGTAAGTACCCTGAGTTTGACTCCAAATTTTAGTTTAAAATTATATTTTTATAGGAAATGAATTATAAGAGAGATGAAGTTTTAGTAGTGTTTATCTCTAGGTGGTAGGATTATAGGTCAAACTCTGTTTTCTTGTTAATATTTTCCAAATACTTTACACTTTACTTTAAAAAGATATTTCCCCTCTTCTCCCTTCCCATCCCTTAATTATATTTATGTGGTCTTGGACTATATTCATTTAAATCAAAAAAGGGAAGTCAGAGAGCTCTGAATTCCTCTCTTGTCAGTCTAACACCTGTGATGTTCAGGATGAAGCCCTCTGGGAGATATACCATATATTAAGTGCATTAATAAAAGGGAGGTCATAACAAGGGACTTAAAATCATGCAACATGAAGAATGGCTAGAAGACATATGCAGGCTCCACCTGCCCATAAGAGCTAAAGGTTATCATGAAGCAGAGAGCACACGTATTCTGTGTCACCCAGAAGATGGGATCAAAGGCTGCAAAGAACAGAAAACTAGAATTTGGCTTAGTACAAGAAGAACTATCTAATGATTGGAACTGCCTCAAAGCGAAAGAATAGCCTAAGAAGGGATACTCATCTGGGGGCCAAGGCTGGATAACCAGTCGGTGACAATGTTGAGAGGAACCTCGTACCACTAATCGGCTGCACTGTTAGAGCTCTACAGAGCCTCATACAGGCCAAGAATAGACACTTCATCCATTATACAATGGGGAGGAGGGTCCTGGAGATACCTCTTGGTGATTTTCTTTTCTCTGTCAGCTCTTTTTCTCCAAGCAGGAAACTCCACAGCCACTGAGATGGGTGGTTCTCTGAGTGAGATGGTTGGAATAGAGCTTGGGGATCAAAGAAACAGGAATATATTGGATTGTTTGTGGTTGCAAGGAACAGAAAGTCAACTGAACTATCATACAAAATAGAAGTGAATTAAAAATCAAAAGCAAGAAAAAACAATCAGGAAAGCCCAAGTGGACAGAACTGGGTGCATCCTGACTGGAATCACAGGCTCTGTTCCTGCTCTCATTGTTGGTTTGTGTGGCTGAGTCTGGCTACCTCAGGAGGTGGGCTTCTGCATATGGAAGTAAGAGCTCATGTTGTACCTACAGATGATGCACTCAGCTCAGACAAGCTCCGATAATATCCTTAGGCAGATCTCCTTAGACGGCTTGGGTCATGTGACCCATCCCTAAACCAGTCACTGTGTCCTAGGGTAGGAGTCCTCTAATTCCTTAGGCTGGACATATAACCAGAGGAAGTTAACTTCAAGTGTACTATGTGGGTAAACAGCTGTGGAAAGGAAGTGTTCTATGGCCACTATAGGGAGATCTTGCCTGTATAAAAAATATTTGGAAAAAGAGATGTACAGCTGCCACAGAAATCTATTTCATGCATCTAGCATCTGGTAATTCCACCTCTCTTCTAGCTCAAATTCCTCCTGCTGTAGTTTCCACCCATCTTGTTCTGTCCCATCTTCAGGGTAGATTTAGATCAAAATCTCTTCCCTCACAGACACACTGTGAGGATTAATTAGGTTTTCCAGAAACCATCTGTAAAGTGCCATGGGACCTTCAGGACCAGATGCTTTGTAAAGATATTTTGCTATTAGAATCAGCTCTTCATTTTTTATGCTTATGGGGGATTGGGGATGAGAACAGATCAAAAGGCAAGGAGATGGAAATCTACAAATTATCCCAAGATTTCCTTTTGCTCATGATAACCATTCTCTTTCCTCTCAAAGTACTTTGCCTCTGCCATTCACAAACACCAAACATGGAAACCATGAATGGGTTTGAATGTCCACACCCTTCTCCAAAAGGAAAAGGAGAAGTTGGGAGTAGGGAGTCATGAGTGGCTGAACAGGTTGTATAACATGAACCAAAGTAGAATCAATGCCTAGAGGATTAGCAGCTGGCTGTGTGGAGTGGCTTTCCTTTTTTAGATCAGGTTAATGAGCTATGAATGATATATAACTGTCTGGGCAGTGTGTGAGCGTCAAAGTCTGGGCTCCTCTGTCAGCCTGCAGGATGCTTTTCTGGGGACTGTCAGGGATAAATGCTGAAGCACAGTGAGTTAGTGAGAGGATCACATCTCAGGATGTAGGAAGAAGTCACCTTTCAGCAGGATCCAACACATAGCAGGGTTTTTCTGTACTGTTGGATCTTGCGGGTTATGTGGAACCATCTAGGGCAGGTGATGCAGGTAACAGGTTTCTGTGGCTATTCTAGAAAGGCTGGAAGCAAGCTCAGAGCTGTCTGCCTGACTTCTTTTTCCCCTTTATTTAAAAAAAAATCCTCCAACTTTTAATTTTAAAATCATTCAAAGTCAGAAAAGTCAAAAGAAGGCTAGGGATGAAGCTCAGTGGCAGGGTGCTAGCATATGTGAAGCCCTGGGTTCAATCCCTAGCACTGCACAAAAGAAAAAAGTTGAAAGATTAGTACAATGAACACCCATATGCCCTTCACCCAGATTTATCATTTTGATACATTGTGCGTATTCTCTCTCTATCCTTCTGTGTGTGTTTATACATACGTATACACATCTATGTTTATCTATCTATATTTTCTCCTAAGTCATTTGAGAATAAGTTGCAGACTTTATGATACTTTACTCCTAAACGCTTCTTTCTGGAACTCCTAAGAATAACCTGTATAAGCACAATATGATTATCACACTCAAGAAATTTAGCATAGAGATAATGCAAAAAGCTAATAGAAAATCCGGGTTTGATGGAGCTGAATGTCCCCATAATGTACTTTCAACCTCTTCCCCGTCTAGCTCCTATACCTTTGCCTATTGTTCAGGACATCACATTTTTAAAGAATGAAAAGTCATGACAGTCAGTTATTCATGAGACTGTCTCTCAATTTGGATTTGTTTGATCATTTCCACATTCCCTCATGGCCAGGTTCAAGTTAAATGCATAAGTTCTTAGCTGTGTGACTTTGAGTAAGTCACTGGATGATGAAGAGCCTCAAATTACCCATAACATTACATACTTCATAAGGTCATGAGAATGAACAGAGAGGATAACTAAAGTTCTCAGCATGGGAATGGCTAATAAGTGCCTGAAAATTGTTTGCTCTGTGATTAGCATTATGATTGTCACCCCCTGCCATAGTCTGATGCATCCTGCTTCCAAACACATTTTCATCTCTCTGAGGAATTTCCAGAATCCTGGACTCCAGTTTCCTCATCTGCAAATGGAGAATAAGTCTATCCTGAATAGTTTGCTTACTGGGCTATTACAAGAATCAAATTTTTAAAAATGTGATTCACAGTGTAGTACAAACTAAAACATGTGAAAATGCAAGGAAACATCATTATTATCTTCTGTGTTTGCATATGTTTAAATCAGTCTCTTGTATAACAGAAAACCCAAAGTGGGGGTTAAAATGAAATTAGCATCCAACAAAAATCTTGTTTCTAACTATGCTTAATACAATAGTTTTCAGGTATTTTTTATTTTAATTTTTATTCAGAATTTTCTGTTACCAGGTACTGCACTCCTCCCCCTGCCCCCAATTTTTTTGGTGCACTATACTCAGATACTTTTAAATCATCAGAATCTAACTTTCAAATGAAGTCCATGAAACTTTGAAATACAAAGCAGTTTAAAATAAAGCCCCTGTGAGTGAAGTTTGGGTGGAATACCTACAACCCCCCCTACAGAGCCCCTGCACAGACCCCAGCTGCATCACTGGTAAGGGCCCTCTGGGGATTGCCTTAGTCTCCCCTTGGCCCCCGCTCACAGAGCCATACCATCCTTTGTTTTCTCCGCACTCCTAGCCCATTCCTGCTGAGGAATAGTCATATCTGCAAACCCTAGTGATGATTTACTCAGTTCATTATTAATCATTATTAATTGCTTATAAACATCCTTCCCTGGAAGCAGCATTAAATGCCTTGCACTCAGCAAGACAGACATTGACAGATCATATAATGAGCAGTTCATGCTGGAGGCTTCAGCACAAGAGTCACCTGTACTTGCATCCCACATGTCCCGAGTTGGACTGGCCACTCCTGTAACCCAACCAAGTCTGCACACCCTCAACCTTACTCTTAAAGGTTAGGGCTTCATCTAGCAACCTGATGAGGTGTTGTTTACCCATTTGGGCCACCTACTTTGCATTTCATCTTCACAATCAATCCCAGCAAGTCCTCACTTAGGTATCTTGTTCAAGGTCACCCAACCATGGAAAAGCAGAATGCAAACCAAGAAGATCCTTTAGACTTCAAAGTCTATGCATTCCCAGTGGAGGCTCATACACTGACCTATTTTCTTAGGACTTCTGGAAATACCATCTGTGCCAAAGGCACCCATGGATCATTGCCACAGGCATGTCCCTTGACCTCTCCAACAATCTTGTAAGCTAAAGTATTAATAGTATCAGCTAAAGCTTGTAGGTTACCATCATAAGCTCAGTACAGACTGTTTATTAGCTCTTTTATTAATAACCATTTATTACTTGTGTGATCCTGACTATAACCATATGAAATAGGTACTCTTCATTTTACTGATAAAGGTGATGAGGAACTAAGAGGTTGTGTGACATACAGAAGAATGTTGCATAGTTGATGGCAGCAGAGCTGGGATTTGGACCCAGGGAGTCTAACTCTAAGATCTGAGCTCTTCATGACTGTGCCAAAACTGAAATATGATTAATTACTAGCTTCAGTTTACAGACAAGAGAACTGAGAGGTTCAGAGGGGTTGGGTGACCTGCCAGGGTCACATAGTATTATTTGCAGGAAAATCTGGTGGGGAGAGAGTCACAAAATAGTGTGAGCAAGAGGCCAAAACTTGTTCTGTAAAATAAAAATGAAATTCTCTTCCACTGATTGGAGTTGCCAAAATAGAGTGGGATATGTCCAAGGGCTGGATTCTAGAGGGAACTCTGGAGTCAAAACTAGGAAAAATTGACAGGAAGACAAAGCTTAGTCACTAGGGCCAGACATAATTGGGTTGGGGAAGAAAGGGGAATCCTGGTGGGGCTTCTTTTGAGGGCCTGGAATCCTATCTTAGGTCAATCTAAAGTCTCAAAACTGTCAAGGTCCAAACTGTCAACTTTAAGAGCTGGGCCATAGTTGGAATGCGATCTCCTGAATTAATCCAAGCTGGAAGCTTCACGGGAAGGACTGCATGAGGTATGCTGGGGGATTCCAAAGGAGGGGGCTCAGTGGGCTGAGAGGATGGCTGCTGAGAGGTTTGGGACTTTGGTCAGGCAGGGAGGGAGACCTTACTTCCTTTGGTCCCTATTCTCCCAGTAACCATCTTTCTTATCAAAAGGTGTATAAGAATATTCCTAGTAACCACAAACCAGAAGCCTTTCCAATTTCCGTCAACACTGTGATATATTCTCACAGTGCAGCATACAGTGAAGAGAACATCCATATTGTTTCAGCTTATGACAATTGGAACCCATTAGTAACTGTGCCGTAAGTCCCCATCAAAGTCTGGATCAGGAGCACCATATTGAACCTGAGCCAGGCTGAAGTCAAATGTAATCACTTCCAAACAGGAAGCCTGGTTACTCAGGGCCAGAGAGTCAAGTTGGGTTCAGAAGTTAGTATGAAACGTCCCCAGTAGACAAAGGGGACAGGCAAGAAAGACCAGACAGAGCAGGTGGACAGGATGCCTTTGCCATTGGCCAGGCGGTGTGTTCAGACAAGACAAGCCCTTTGCCCAGGGATCCTAGAGTTGGGTTTGTGGGGTCTGCTTTTAAAAGGGAACAAAAGGAACCTTTGGCTGTACCTCTAGGTAAAGCTTCCAAGTTACAAAGATCCACAACTCTAAACAGTAAACTGACTACGATTTAAGTCGAAAGCTACCTGTATGT